AACCATTGTCTTTATGACAATTTTTCCTAAGATGAGTGAGATCTTTGAGGTGTCAAGGTTAATAACTTATCATACTGTCGCCTTAAAAATTTCTTCTACTGCAATCCACTGTACTCATAGTCGTTTTTCTGTTTTTCTTATTTCATTTTTCTTCCCATTCCTCCACGCGTTTGCCTGTGTACTTGTCCAAGATCTCTTGCCAATTTATTTCCCGTCCAGCTGATAGACCATTGCAATTTGATGAAATCACATTGGTAAAGAATATATTGTGGCAAAATAACAAACCACAATCACTTTTCGTTTTTCTGCGCCGTCTTCAGCTCATCACTACCTCACTGCAGAAGATTTCGTACAAGAAACCAGTAGTGCTGGACACTGATAAACAGTCATCTACTCATCGTTTCTTATCATCCTCTGTGGTATATTTCATCTGTGTTCAAATCCAACAGGACTTTACTGAATAGCCTGCTCTGCACACTACTGTGTTACCAAGTGGCTGTGATTAGCAACTGTAGTTCTTGGTTTGATTCATGTGCAGCTGATTTTCATTTTCATGAGCTCCGTAGTTCTTTTTTCTTTCAGGCGCCAGTTTTCGTCTAAACTCTAAAATCATACAGTTCAGCAGCAGTGGTAAACTCTAACGAGCGTAGTCAAAAAGCTGTTCTAGGCCTCTACACGATAAGGATTGCGATCATATCATTTCATTTCCCGTCTTCCATTCACGCTCCCCTATTTACACTGGCTGTTGGTACTTTATACTTTATTACATAAACAGCTGTATTTTTTTTTGAAATGTCATAGTCGAACGCTACTGGATAGGGATCGGGCGATAAATTCTTGTTGGGAGATTCCTCCATTACAAATGCGTCTATTTCGCGAGGATGTCTTGAAATATTCTGCACAAGGCTGTGATTTTCGCGAACTGCTCTATCTTTGAGCGAAAAAGTCGTGCCGCCAGTACATAGTTTTGCGACAAATAAGTCACATATCGTGTAATATGTTCTGCCCTTATCTTAGGGTAGAGGTGTGAGTTACTGCTGCATGGTGGGTGCTAATGCTATGGTAGAGTGTCACTGATAGACTGCGATCTAAGTGTACCAAGGGCCTGAGCTACACTCTCTATGGCTTTTTACTGTGATGTCGAGTTGGTAATATCGTTATGATAATGATTTCAACTACTATCATTATTATCATTGTCAACATTATTGTCATTATTATTGTTATTGTCATCATTATTATTGTTCACCGTATTAATCTGTGCTCTCACGGGACATGTATTGTATTGTTTCTATTCGAGATTATTAAGGTATACATGTTATTTTTAATTTCTTCAATGCACAATGGAACAACGGAGAAGGAAGGCACTTCAGATATTTCGAGTAGTTGCTAACATTGAGTGAACGCGAATATACAAGTTTCCTTCATCTATTTATTTATGTGATCTTATAAACTGATCCTCTTAAGCTGACGCGAGGGTTGGTACAGGTCTTCCTTGTCGTTGTTGTTGTTTTTGACGTTATTGATCGATGGCTGACGTTTCGGCGACTTCGCCTTCCTCAGAGCCGTGATGTTACGTATGGGACTGTCCCATACGGGCAGCCATCTGGCGAGATAAACAAATCGGAACGAAGGACCCGCACGGTGTGGTGGTGAACGCGTTACTCCCCGAAAAGGACAATAGCGCGTTCGTTCCCCACCGCAGGCACTTGCGGTCCGGAGTTTTGCAAATATCTCAGCATTACAATAGTTATATTTCGCTAAATACCCTGCCGTTAAAAAAATAGGCAGTAAATAAAAAGATTAAGATTGTGATTATATCAACTATCTATGCCGAGGTTTATAGAAAGTCGGTCTTTTGAGTTTCCTTCATCTTTTTACCCTAACGCCGATCATAGGAACTTGATGAATTCATTCGAACAACGCCAAGGATCCTTACACACTTTAGTGCTTCGTTCTGGTAGTAAAGAGTGGTCTGATCGTTCTGGTAGTAAAGAGTGGTCTGATCAAAATCTCTACCAAGCTATCTAGCATGATGGGATTTTTTATACTGCCCGACATCATATATGATACGGATCCCCACAACACTTTCATTCGATTCGTTTCCTCGCATTCATCATCCGCTAATGTCTTCATGATTTTCTTGTGCGTTCGGTTGCTGTTTGAGAATTGTCATCTTCCTTATGAATGCAACTGAATGCTGGTCAAGTCCAATATTCCCGAAATTGTGAGGTAGCTGTGATAGCGCGCTCCTAGATCTTCATCACATGCAGTGGTCAAGTTCTGTAGATTTCGCGAAGCGAGTTGGTTCCAGAAATTTTTGGTACCTATTTTCCGAACCCTAATGAGTACTTGGTGAGCTTTGTTCACTCAGTTTAAGGTCGAACCAGGTCGTTGAGTGTATTGGAAGGGATAACTACTCTGCAATATGTATTCTTTCTTTGATTAGTGATACCGAGGTTCAAGGAATGTCGGTTTCGAAATATAACTATTCTGCGTTACCTACTTTCCACGTTAATCTAATATTAGCAAAAGAGTGAAAATCGTTGGTGGAAAATTTTTTATTTATCGTTTTCGCTTATATTGTTTTAGTTATCCATATGCGACCTGTCGCATGTCCTGTTCATTCGCACCCATGGCCCACCAAGCCTTCCATCCCTCCTGGGTCGACAAATTGGTACCAGACTTGCATGGGAGGATGACAGCACTGGCTCGGTACATCGGTAGGCCACCGAGAATCATTTTAAAGGCCAGATTCACCACCAAACGATGTTTAATGAAGTCGAATGCATCGTTCAGCGATTGATCGACGACGAGAGCTTTCTTTTATTACCTTTGAAAAGTTTGGGACGGAATTGTAGCTTTCTATAAATTCCATTGTTTCATTTACCTTTTTCAATTGAATCAAAGAGTGAAACAAGTAATAAACACATTATTGCAGGAATAAGGAAATTAATGAAAGCGATCGCTTATATACGATTATTGAATAGTGTAGATTCCTTAGACAATGTTTATTAAAATGAAATGAGGAAAAACTAAATCTGTATCAGGCCCATGACAAGATCCAAACTACCTGATGGTTCTGTTGCGGTCGTCACTTAGCAAAACGCGCGTGTTCGGTGTTCTTAAGTTAACGATCGCCGTTCGATCTCAAACGGTGCCAGTGAAGAGTTTAAGCGTGTCAGATGATGCATACTGATTAAAACTATTCAGGGAGCAAACTGAAGGCGCCTAGTTTTAGTGAAATAAGATCACAATTTACACAATACAAGTGGTTTAAGGCCCAAACCAGCAGCTTTCTGGTGGTTTTGATCCTAGTGCTTCTTTCGAGAAGGTTTCTTCATTTTTAATCGTCATCAAAGCGAAAAGATAGCACAGTCAAGAGATTTCTAAGTTTATGCTTTTTCTGTAATGTAATTGGAATATATTCTTAACTTTTCTTTCCCAAGTCACTGCGGAGGATGGGATTGGAGTGGGATATGGGAAACTGCCCCACAAATTTCATGAGTGTTTCCTCATAGGATTAGCAGGAATCCACCATCAACGACATGTGAGGACTCAATATTCTAGAATAGGGGTGAATGTGATAGAGCTTCATTAGTTTCGTCTTAAGAGTTTCTGCCAGTCGTCATAGTGAGTTTGAGGAAACTGACTTAAAAAAATAAAAAAAGTCCCTAATAAATAATAGAAGAAAGCATGAGAAAATACGTAAAACGTAGAATAAATGAAAAACTAGTGACATCAAAAGGCAATGTTCCGAACGTCACCGTCGTTTACTGAAGTAGTCCTTCCCTCTGCTGTTTCTTATAGTATTTCGAAGTATAATGTGTGCTCAGCATGTCTGTTTATCCACCTGGTTTCAAATCGCTCCAGTTTTTAAACAATAATTTCACGCTTCTCTTCATTTGACATGTTTTGAGCACATTAGATCCTAAGCTATTTATGCATTTCTATATGGCGTATGAGGTTAGTCGAGGATGGAAAACGACTTTTTATTTGCCCGAACGAAGATAAACTGTAAGCGGATTCATAGGAACAGCCCGATCTCACTGCTACGCACAATTGACTTATACTATCCGTAAATACTTAGTCATATCTATGCATACATCATGCAATCAAAGAAGTGGGAGCTGGAAACATGGGATGTGATCATTCGAAGTGGCCCACAATAGAAAAGCCTACTAATGGGGAGAGCCCAACAAGCTAACTGTGAACGTTTCGAAATCTTACGGCCGATCCCACATGTTATACGTGGAAACTCACTCTGATATTAAGGAAGAAAATTAGGACACACAGAAAAATAGTACTGTCCACTACACTGAGCTAGTTAAATCTACCAGGCTGGTTATGCCAGCTTTATGCAGGTAGTAGGAACGAATGGGGAATTGATATCTGTTCGTTGATGAAGCAGAGGCGAGGAAGGCATCGAACTACCCATCGATAACTGTGCGTACTGTAATGCACCTCTTACACTGGGCTACAAAAAAAATCCATCCGAGCACAGACGATAGATTGATTTGTGTTTCATTCCAAATACTAAATTATTTGTATTACTCTTCATCACGTTTCTGTACAAACGTAAATTTCGAAAAATATGCTCAAGAAATGTTATAATTCAAGAGTGATACGGACGAATTGTGAACAATACGTATTCAATAACATCGTACTCGTAACACAACTGTGAAATTGGCATAGAAGGGTGAGGAACGGAAAAAGTGGAAAGGAAAATAGATGAGAGAGAACGTCCTAACAACAAAAAGGAAAAGGAAAGAAGAACAATGGGATGAACGGCGTGTGATTGCCTTGCAGGAAAAATATGCACAGTACAAATAGACGAATTTTAGGGTCATTCATAAAATCATGGAAGGAATCTTGGCTTTCAATTTTATACTCAGTCTCTTCACCTTAGCAAACTCAAATTTAGATGCTCAGAACTTCCCTAGGTTCCAATAATCAGTAGATATTATGTATAAGATGCCGTTGAATTCTTTAACAGAACCACTTCACTCCAGATAGATGTCTTCTGTCGGATGTGCGAACGCCATGTATTCGTCGTAAGAACGTTTGAAAGCTCGTCTGAAATTAATCGTAGGTACTTCGGTTAGTATCCGATTGGTAGGCATCAGGCTCATAAATCTCATTGTTGAAGAAGAATGAGAATTTCTGCCTAACGACGAAGTAATAGATAATGGAAAACGGCACAACGAATAACTCTAATTTAGACTCCTAAGCTTACGCAGTCATCAGAACGATATAGAATACCCAAAGAGTGGTTTATAGACTTCGACATTTAATTCCCTGAGTAAATTTTACTAATTTTTTCGGCTGTATCGCCTTCTCCAGAGCCTGGAAGGGTACACTGATATACAATCTACTAGGCCAAACGCTTCAATAACACTTACAAAAAGACGAGGATAATTACACGATCAACAACTTCTCGAAAAACCCACCGCTTTTTCGTGACTTCCAATGAGGAAGTTTAGAACAGCTGATTACAGTCGCATGTGGTTGATGACTGCACCATCCCACATCAAAAATCGATGCGAACGTACGGGATCAGGTCGCGTATGACCTCTGGGCATTCGTCCCTGCTATTCATTGTAGGGTTTTTTGGCATTGATCCAAAAAGCCTCAAGGAGTTTTCGCGCTGGTGTTTTGGACTCCTGTGCAAGGATATTGACTTTTACTTCAAAATCGTCTCCGCTGTGCTTTTGTATCCTATGCGTGCCTAGTGGGGTGCTTCGTCTCAGTTCTCGTTTGCCATCTAGGTGTCAAATAAACCTATCAAGTAGCGGTTACCTGATAAAGTGGTGCCGAAAGCCAAGTAACAAGAACAATCTTGTTCATTTCCTTTCTTCCCACCCTTCACACACAAGGAGGGCGATTGTGAGAAACATGTTTCGAACAACCACCTCTGTGCGCACTACCAGGGAACTAAGGGAAGAATCGCGCGACTTGGCTCGGCAAATAGCCATCTCCAATGGCTACGAAATAGTAACCCCACGAGATAAGCTTACAAGGAGAACGACGCGCCCACGCGAAACACTTGGCCAAAAGAAAGTCCCGTTTATGTTGCCTTTCACAAACAATGAAGTAAGCATAGCTATAAAACGATGCTTTAGAAGGGCAAGTCTAGAGGAATCGGTAGCGATAGTTGAAATACCACCGGCTACTCTACGTCGCCAATTAGTTCGTAACCGCCTGTATGACCGTCTATGTGAAACAACAAATTGCGTAATTTGCCCTTACGGCAGGGACGGTGACTGCATGAGTTCAGGTACGATATACCTGATCTCTTGTAATAATTGCGGAGATGAATATATTGGCGAAACGGGCAGACCTTTGTGTATCCGTATAAAAGAACACCTAGATGGCAAACGAAAACTAAGACGAAGCACCTCACTAGGCACGCATAGGATACAAAAGCATAGAGGAGACGATTTTGAAGTAAAAGTCAATATCCTTGCACAGGAGTCCAAAACACCAGCGCGAAAACTCTTTGAGGCTTTTTGGACAAATGCCAAAAAACCCTACAATGAATAGCAGGGACGAATGCCCAGAGGTCATACGCGACCTGATCCCGTACGTTCGCATCGATTTTTGATGTGCGATGGTGCAGTCGTCAACCACATGCGACTATAATCAGCTGTTCTAAACTTCCTCATTGGAAGTCACGAAAAAGCGGTGGGTTTTTTCGAGAAGTTGCTGATCGTGTAATTACCAAAGAGTTCCTTGCCTTTTTGTAAGTGTTATTGAAGCGTTTGGCCTAGTAGATTGTATATCAGTATACCCTTCCAGGCTCTGGAGAAGGCGATACTGCCGAAACGTCAGCTAGTGTTGTATTGTATTGTGTTTCTCTATGGAAGTAAATGTATGCTGTTTAAAAACCTCGCGATTGCTGAACAAGAAAACGACACATTCATATTTCAATGCCGAGGTTAATAGAAAGTCGATCCTGGGCCCTATATTTTGTTTTGATGAAATCACCATTTTCTCGCGTTTCCAACTTATCGAAGATTCTGAAATCCAGGAACAAAACATGTGACAACTAAAATCGCCTAACTGACTGCTAAAACAACAGGGATAAACTACTCTCTTAACGCGCTTGTCAGTAGGAGAGATGCTCTGTGGCTAAAAGAAATCCTCTGGGACAGCAAGAGGTCTCCCGTCTGATAGTAGAGTAAACGAGCAAAGCGTAACATCACAATGTAGTGATGTAGAAACAAAGTCCGCTAACTCTCGATTTATAGTAGGAATATTAGGAGAATAGAATAATAGTCTCAGAACCTTCTTCTCCTCCTATCTGAGTGTCTAATTTTTTAAAGGACCGATGAAATAGGCACGTACCCAATTGACTCAACTATCGGCTGTGTAGAAGTACTGGACAAGAACACATGGCAAGCAAATCGCGGTAACAGCGGATGTTTTGTGATGAAACCAAAATATCTGAAATTGAACACTAGAAGAATAGAACATAGGCCTGAAGGGAAAAAGTACTAAATCGAAAATATGTACTGAGCACATACTTGAGTTGTTTTGGATGCGCTCCACAAAACGAAATATTTTGTAAACTGTAGAAGAAATCGAACGTCGGACATTGGAAAAACTGAAATCGATCTGTTTTGTCTCTCGTTTAAAGCTTTCTTTTCACAGTGATCACTGACTTATCATTTCCTTTCCGACACATCCATTGTGTTTTAGTTCAGGGGATACACTAGACATTCTCACAGAAGTCAGAAGGCTTAAATGTTATTCATTGCCCATTCCTTCTTTGTGGCAGGGTATTACGTGAAATGTAACCATAAGGATCCTAAGATATGTGCAGAACTCGGAGGTTTGGCTTTAAGTCCGCGATTATCGCTTTTTGGTCTCACTTATTATAAGCCACGCCAACTGAGGGTATTGCTGTGCCGTTCTGTCCTTCTTCATCTCATTCCCTTTGAATAGTGATTGCTGATACTACCGTTGAAGTAAAAACATGGTTGAGAGATAGTCAAAGCAAGGGCCTCGGTTGGTTTAGTGGATAGCACTCGAGACCTCGGAAAGGGTAATCACGGGTTTGACATCGAACTGTGGTTCTGAGTTTTGTTCATACTTCAGCATCCTTGTTGATGCATCTTTCGTAAAGCTCCGATGCATCAATATGATGTCTCATTGCTGAACACTGACAAAATATCAAATGTTATACGTAATAGGTGGAGTAGGTGCATCACAGTGTTCAGAAGCGCCCTGCAATATGGCTGCTAATTTGACCCTGTTTTCCAGACAAACGAAATCCTGCAAATTGGTACCAGATTTGCATGGATGGATAAAATCACTGACTTGATACATTGGTACACTGCTGCAAGTCATTGAGTAAGCTAGGCATGCATTCAGTGATCTCTCCGATACGAATAAAATCGAGTGCGTAACGTTTCGTTAAAGGATTGATGAACACAGAACGCTTTATCTTTTTCAACCACCACTATTAAGCAAAAAAGAGGATGTCAGCAGCAAAGCATGTTGAAATGAGCACATGATAATTGGGAGTTTTACTGCAAGGTGAAGCTAGAGTATAACTCTGCAAAAAAATCGATATTCCTCCTTTCTACGTACTTTTCGTTGTTCCTTCAATTACGCTTCTCTCATAGGATGCAGTAGCTCATAGAATACAGTAGGTTTGTGTTAAAAAATATTAAAAATCAATAACCAAGTAATAAACTACGTAATATCACTAACGTTCTTTCTCCTCTTGTCAATTACATGAATCCCACGAAAGGAAACCTCCATGAGAACCGTCTGCGGAACGATCACCTCTTCGTGGTTTTTGTACATCGATAACACCTAGAAATCGAGATCTCTCAAGGAAACAGTCACCAACCACTAAAAGTTCTCTAAAAAAGTGTTTCAATCATCTTATTTATTTTTCGAAGCAAAAATTTAACAGGTTGGATGTTTTACTACACTTCCCTTTCTTTTTCATCTAACTTCACCTTCATAGGAATAGGTAACATCTTCGTACGCCAATTTTACGGAGCAGCGAACGATTCTCATATGAAATGGTAATCTAGGATTTGTTTAAATGATTCCTATCCATAATTGAGCCCTTTATTCTCCAGAAGCTAAAATTTCAGCTCAAATCATACCTTGTTCATCGCCTGAACGAGAACGTCGTTGCCTTTATGATGACCTACTTCGATCGATGCCAACATGGTCAAGTAGAAAGTGTCTCGTTCTGATTCGGTCACTTCTGTAAAACCTAGTGGCTAATTGGAAAAGAAAAACACTTTTCCACCGGAACGAGAATATAAAAATGGATATCGATCGTTCGATCCTCATCAACATTAAATTATAGTCGTTATTAGCTTCCTGGGCGCGTATAGCGCAGTAGTTTAGGGTCCTGTGCAATGCAGACAACGTTATTCGTTCAAGTCCCACGCCCTAGTTTAATCAAACCCTGCATGCTTCTAAAGTCGTAAAATGATCACCAGATTTGGGTGTGAGGAAAGAAAAAACCTGACTCGTTACACTGGCAGGTCCCCAAAAGTCATTGAATAAACCAAATATGCTTTCAGTCACCTACAGCCTGTTATGAATGGAGCAGAATGCATGGAGCATCCACAGGAACTGCTCAGTGCTAACGCTATGCGCTGTGTAATTTCATATTGGTAAAAAAATTCTCATCTTTTTCGCAAACATCTGAAGATTTTACTGATAACTACTTCAACCGATTAAATTCACTACGAGCTGAGATATATTTGCTTAAAGCTCACAGTCGAAATTACCCTCAGCTACGGATGCATCGGAATCGATGCATACTAGAACCTGAGTGTTTCGCACATCGAATGATATTGAAAAATCATGCTAGCAGAGATATAATATGGAACAGAATCATGGATAGCAAACGATGAAGGATAGGAAAAAAATTTACTGTTAGCATTTGATGGAAGCGCTCCAAGACAAATTTCTTCGACGATATCGATTTCACAAACAATGGCCGAAGGAAAAATTCCAGAGACTCCAGTTCTAAGATTTGTTCCTGGAAACAATGCTATAGTACAAAAATTGAAAACAACACCTTTGATGAAATCGTTTCAGTGCTTCCCAAAGAAGTTTTTCGGCACGTCGTCCATCGAAGGAGGAAACTACTAATACAGGTTATAACTTTTGGCATGAATTCATAATGGGTGAAGTTTCCCACCTTGTAAAGTCTCTTTGAAATGTTCCACCGTATGCTTTTTCCAACCACAAATTCAAAAATTACTTGGTTTTGTGTATGTGAAACAAGACGAGTGATAAATAAGTGGATGTTTCTTCTCTATTTTTTTTAACAACTCTACTTTCGCTTCACTTTGTTCTTCATAAAGAAGTCAACGATCAATACACCAACTCAGTAAACATAAATGGGTCTAAGATAAGAACCAAGTCATTTCTGTAGCTCCAACTTTGACAGGAAATCCCAGTAACTTACCGTAACACCAGTGATCTTCGTATGTTCTATCGACATGAACCGCATCTCCGATATCAAGCAAGACTTCATCACTATGCCTGTAAAAGCGAATCACTAAAAGGGAAGAAGAAACTGTTGAACAATAAAATATGGAAAACTCAAAGCGGATAAGAAAGTTCGAATACTTCGCCAGCTTTTCATCAGGATGTGATTAAAGCCAAGGACAAGACAATGAAAATATTTTAGTACGCAAATTTCAGCGGCGACTTATAACCAGTACATTCTAGTATATTCAGATAGAGAGACACTAGGCGTTGAATAGAACTGGAAGAACGTATCCTATCATAAACAATACTTCACCGGCTTGAAAGGCAACTCCGACTCGTAATCTTATATACAGATAAAAGCTTCAAGTTCAAGAATTCGTAAAACAGCCATTCTTAGAACTTCTTAGGATTTGAACTTCTTAGGACTTCAATTTCCTAAAAGTGCCGTCCTTAGGACTTATCAATTGCGAAATTTACACTTTGAAAACGAGTTCTGAGAAATCATAGCCATTATTCCTTTTACATACAAGCAACTTCTTCACCAGTGTGGGAATGCTAAATACCAAAAGAGAAACGTAATGAGGAATTTTTTGTTTGATTTTTAGAACGTTTTTCTCCTATATGAAGCAGAAATTTCTTTGAAATTTGTTATTGACAAACCTAGGAACAAATGTCGATTGAGCTCTATGCGTAGGATTAAGGCTGTCGGAAGTGGTACATGACGAGACACCACTGGAGTCGTCAGAAGAGAAGAGAGCTGCAAGCACATTCGAGAATTTTTAGGAATAAAGGAAACGATTCTGAACGTGCTTTGAAAATCAGGTTCAACTTTCCCCGTTGGTGTCTTTTGCCACTAAATTCATTGACTTCATTAACAATTAAGGAAAGGGGTAATGGAAAATCGAAAAAATTCAAATGAATTTAATAAAAATTGACGAAGTTTGGATTCTGTTATCCATCAGATACGTCACTACATATGGTAAATAGTATGGTTCCTTGTTGAAAAGAGTGATCCATATGCGGTTCACATTTTCGACAAACGGTTAACCAAGTTGGATTTTTCAAAAAGAAAAAAGTAGGATAACAAATGAAACAAGAGAACATACACTTCCGCTGCTTGATACGTGCATTACCGTTAATGCCGTCCTCTTCGAAGTACGAATCCTCGAACACGCTTCTTCCCATCATTGAATCACTCATACCTGCACAAATTAATGATTATGTGATACATAACCACAATGGTGCTGAAATATTTGCAAAGCTTCGACCCCGGGCACTAGCGATTACTCTTGCCTGGGCTTTGCGTGTTAACCACTGCTCCACTGAGGCCCTTGTTCAGCTTTCTCTCACCCATTTTCTTACCTGACGTTGTCATCAGCTAACACTCGTCAAAAAGACTGAGATGGAGAGCACAAGTCTGGATTTAAACCTGTTAAGCTGAGTCTATAGTCGAAATAACATTGTATAACTTTTTGTCTATTTCCTATTATTTTTCTAATGGACGGGTATTATGTGAAATGAGATAGTTTGGAAAGTATAACTCCACGGTCCTGAGATATTTGCAAAACTCCGGACCGCAGGTGCCTGCGGTGGGTGATTGTTGATGACACAAATCGACAGAATTAGCTGAAAGATAGGCGAAACGAAGGATCGGCATGGTGTGGCGTTGAACGCGTTACTCCCCGGAAAGGACAATAGCGCCTTCGTTCCCCACCGCAGACACCTGCGGTCCGGAGTTTTGCAAATGTCTCAGCAACATTGTGGTCGTGTTTCACTTAGTACCCTACCGTGAAAACTATAGTAGGTAGAAAATGAAAAGTAAAAGTAATGATAATAGTAATAGACGACAATGACAATAAGAAACTTCTAACAGTCTTATTCTCTTCAATGTAGAGGGGTTTTCTTTGTGAAAAACATGATAGATAATGCTAAAAAGAAAAAAAGGAGAAAAAATGAGTGAAATGGTATTCCTACCATCCATGAAGCATAATGTGTGATCCTGTGGTTTATTAATGGTGTTCTGATGATGCATTGACGTTGTTGGATAGCGTCCGAGATGATGAGAAACCGGAACAAATGGTAGCCGACGACCAGTTAATGATGGAGGCGATCGGTTCACTGAAAATGGAATGGCATTGTGCGGCAATAGCTGCCCGTCTTAGCAATTCAAGTGGTAATGGAAAAGTAACGAAGTCAATATTGACGAGTGTATTCCACAGCAGTCTGTCCATGCGGCATCGAACGCTAGTTATGTAAATCATAGGCAATCATGTAAACTTCCGATAGAGCAGTCTATAATCCCTCAACGGAAAATCCACGGCAAATCACTATTGAAACATAGTGAAAAACATTGCGGTACATCATAGTAAGCTGACTTTGTGGTATAGAAACCATTTTGCTGAACACACTTTTTTCATTTATTATTTACCACTTAACAGTCCAGACTTATCGCTAAACATATTTCCCATTTTCTTTCATACCATGGCAATTTATGTTCAGCTTCGATTGTTTGAGTCAGATCGGAATAAGAATAAGTTCGAGCCAATTCTTCTTTGAACGACATCCTATATGAACGTGAAATAGAAATGGTTAGCTGTACTTAGAGATAACCAGGACGTCGTTATCGATCGCTACAACGCTGTGTCGCCAACTTAACCAACCCCGAAATAAAGTTTTCAGGGTGGAAACGTCGACAGGACGACTGACAAATACCCTCCAATAGTGGTTACCTTGAGTCGAAAACATTTCTCAAACAGATTAGGTCGATTCGGCGCTATTTACAGCCTTCTGTCAATTTTAAAGCCATTTCACCTAGCTGAATGCGATGCTTTCTAGTACTTTATATTATTGTACTCTTCGCATCTTTGTTCCGCATATTAACTATAGTATACTTTTACAATTTTATGCATGAAAGTTGAAGAGGAAGAAAGTCTGGTAAGACACGCTACTGACTACGGTGACAATTGCAGGACATCTACTGAAGGATCTGTACATAATGATTCGACAGCTTGCAAAAAACTTGAGGGTGACGAAAGAAGCAGTATCGGAATACCCTGACTGAATAAACAAGTAAAAAGAAATAGAACTCATGGAATAGGAGGCGCGTCAAATGGTACGGAACACAAAAATGTCGTCGTTTTGGTTCTTTCCCGAACTTGTTCGCTATAAAATGGTCGCGGAGCATGAATTCTATAAGACGACTAACACAGTACCGAGGTGCTTGACAAAAAAAGAAAAAATCAAATACCTCCTGAAGAGAAATTTAAACTAAAAAAGGGATGCTATGTAATTTTCGACCTGGGAGATGGAATTACGCCTTCCGTAGTTCCTTAAGCTACGGCGTAATCAATAAGGCAGAAAATCCATGAATAGCTTAGTCCACGACTATTACAGATAAATCGAAAAGAGCTGACGCTCTTGTAGCTACTGATAACTAACCGCCTTTACGCTTGACATCTGCAGGTCATGAGGTTGAATGAGTATTAGTACGAAAAGCAATAGTACCTTAAAGATACGGATTACTAGGGCTTCTTCAAATAGCTGGGCTACGTCAGTTCACTAAGGATAGACTAGAAATCATAGCGTTCTTCTTTTGTTCATTCCTTTCACCTTTTTAAATCTATTTCTAACTATTTCTCACCAAAGTCCAACATTTGCATACTGATGAAAATAAGTTAGAAGCATGCCACTGAAGCTGCACTTATTGGTCCGATAATGGAAAGATGAGAACAACCGAACGTAACCCACGAAGCTGTAATGACATAATCCACGCAAAATGAAGAGTATCAGAGAATCGTTATCTGATATTCGAAAATTTTAGCAATTTCATTCCGGGATATAGTAGAATTTCTGGACTCAAAGATGAAGCGGCCCATAATAATGAGGTTTTTTTAAAGTTTTGTGTAGAAAAGTAACTGGCTAAAATTGTGGTACAAAGAGAAGACATTCTATATAATCAGTACTCTAAGGTGACTTTACAGCAAACACTGACTCTGGCTAGTCTACGGAGAAAATTAGGAAGAAGCAGGTATCTCGTTTCAGCAGAAGAACTGAAGCATGATGGTTAATTAGGCGACAAATAGCTAAGAAGAGGTCTAAATGACTGCTGAAGAACGATTAAACTTGCAGATTAAAGTAGAAAACTGACGAATATCGAGGTAAAGCACGCCATTTCTCTGTGATGTGATCAGAATGAATCCAGTTTGAGAAAGAGTTACTGAAATCAAGTGATGAAAGACTACAGAGAACTCTGTACTTGATTCGTTGTTTTCTAGGTCTGAATGGATCAAGATTTCTGAATAGGTAAGTTATATAGACCAGGAAACGGAAACGATATGAAGAAGTGGAAGAAGAAGATGGCGTGTGTGGAGAGTCCAAATGAGGAGGACAATCGATAAGATGAGGACAATGGCAGAATTTCCACGATCAATAAGGAGACGGGCTAGCAACCGACCAAACCTGTGCGAGTGACGTTTCTCTATGGGATATTGAAATCAGAAGATTTCGGTCAAATATGATGATGATGGCGAAGAACATCAAGAAATACGTTGTCATTCAGAAAGCCGGCGGCCCTGTAGCATTCCTGTTGAAGAAAATCTCCCAGTAGACCCAACTTTTGCTCAATAATTGAAAAGTTGTAGAAAGTCGCAATGTTCCATGACGGACATCTTCCAATCTGACTAGTTCGAGGCTTAACGACAAACGCTCCATGTTCTTTGTTTGTCTGCATTCGTAACCGCTGTTATTTTGCTTTTCCTTTGTCTTTTGAAAACAAAGAGATGTCTCCATAGTGAGTACTTCGCCTTGGAAAAGCTACGGTGGAAATCTTGGGGAATGGGAGGAATTTTAGATAAGAAGTAATGCAACAGCCAAATGAAAAATCTGCTGACACCTGGCAGACGTTTTACGAAGGTGCGTCATTACAGTATTCAACTAAGTCATTTAGATACTAAAACATCATGTGTTACAAGAAAAATCGAAACAAAACGTTTAAAAACAATGGAAGGTCCAGATATAACGAAAGAACTCCATTTTTATTATCTGATTTTTGACGGCTCATTAACGTAAAAACACTTGAAAATAGAGGGGTGGATAACACAGTGGTAGTGATGATCGTCATCACGAGCATGGTGCTAGTTCGATTCCACTGCGTGCCGATCAAGCCTCTCATCTTTCTGGGGTCGGGAAATTGGCAACGGACTTCTCTGGGGAAAAAAAAACCACTCTGAAATCAAAATGGGAACGCTCCAGTCCGGCTATCTCAGGACTCCAGAGAGATCTGTTAATAACCCAAAAAGCCGACTTTCTATAAACCTCGGCATAGACAGTTGATATATTTATTTATATGATCTTATAAACTAACCTTCTTCAACTGATGCGAGGTTGGTATAGGTCAACTCCAGGAAGAATTGCTCGACCAGCGTTCTACGACATTCAAGATGAACTAAAAAGCCTCAAGCAGCAACCGAAGCCACACGTAAAAGTTGGGAGATTTTCGTGGACAACGGATGCGAGGAAACAAATCGAATGTGAGAAGTACTGGGATCCGTACAGTAAACGTGAAGACGAGTGAAATAAAATAAAATAAATATGTCTCTGCAAAAATACTTATGTTCTTTAGCTTCTTTAGTTCTGTACAGAAGTACGTACTATCCTAGCACAACGTCACAAACAATTTGTTGTGTGAGGCAAACAAATATTTGCTAAATCTTTACAAATATTTGGTCACTAATTTCCATCGCTTGTGTAATCCTTCTTTAAAAGGTTTTG